GAATACTCAAAACTTCTGCTTAACCAAAGAAAACAGTTTCATGCACAAATGCTTTTTAGGATGGGCTGTAAACTAAATAACTCATCTGGGGTTGATGTAACTGGAGGTTTCCTGACAGTTCCCGAATAACCACTATGAGCCTTAATATTAATTATAAACTACTTTTCCTATTAGCCGAAATTTATTATTAGCTAGTTCTTATTACTTAAATTATTTAATTTCTATTATTCTATATTTTACCGTGAAACCTGTGACTTGTTACCTCACATCTTGCTTCTCCAGTGGCTGCTGGTGTCTTCCAGGCACTGCCTTCTTCTCCCCCATCTCTCCTTGGACTTCCCTCCTAACTATATTCTGCGTGTAATATGCCAAAGTAGTTTATTTATTAAGCAAAGGTAAAAAGACACACTAACTGCATACAGAAGGACATCCCACATTAAGTTGGAAATATTGTTAAGCAACCAATGTTATTATAAAAATGGAACCAAAGCAGTCAGAAGAAGGCAGGGTGTTAAGTGTTATTAAAGTGTTGGTGGGGATCTCATCAGTGTTTTACATGATATATACTAAATGTCTCAATAAAATCCATTATGTGGAACACAAAGTCTGCGTCATTCATGGTGTGTCTGTGGTGAATGGAGGCTGATGTTATTCCACTTCCCAGATTGAGAAGATCATCACATAACAGTAGCCTGGGAAATACCTAAATCAAACACGCAAAATATTTCTATTGAATTCACAGTACTGTTACACCACTGAATGATATAAAGTATTGAAGGTAAACTCAGAACCATGTGTAATTAAGAGTGAGAGAGATTATCAGACTTGGTGCAAGAAGCCTTAATCTACTGAGTCATCTCACTGGTCTGATAGGAGGAGCCTTTTTCATAGCTGTGGGTGGTATACATTTATTCCAATATTTGTTCCAATATCTTAGTCTTCATGTCATAGTTATATATCTGAATAGTGATTCAATAAAATATTCCATAGTCTCCATACATTGCCACGCACATTTTTTTTGGTGCCAAACCATACTTTACATGATAGGGCTTCAGCAATATTGTCATATAAAAAAGTATCTGTGTTAAAATGGACTTCTTAAAAACAGGCATTGGGGCGGTGATATGGAAGAAACTGGCTGGAGAAAGAAAATTGGTCCTTTATGTTGTCCTCTGACCTGTAGTCACTCACCCATAGCATTTTTGTATATACACACACAGACACGCATGCACACACACACACACACACACACACACACACACGAAAAGATCTCATGGATGGACTGGGAGTGTAAGTGGGGATGGGAACAGGAGGGATCACATGGGGGAGGGTTCGGAGGGAGGTTGTCCGCTGACCTGCAGTCACTTACCCATAGAATTTTTGTACACACACACACACACACACACACACACATGGTGTGGGAGGTCCTTCTGTCGATGTGTTGCTTTTATTGGTTAATGAATAAGGAACTGCTTTGAGCTTATGGCAGGAAGAACAGAAGTAGGCAGGGAAAGTTCGGCTGTATGCTGGGATAAAGGAGGCAGAGTCAAAGAGACACCATTACCTGCAGGAGATAGATGTGCTGAAAGTTTGCTAGTAGGTCACGACCTTGTGTTGATATACAGATTAATTGAAATGGGTTAAATTAATATGTAAGAGTTAGACAATAAGAAGCTATCGCTAATGGACCAGTGATTTAATTAATACAGTTTCTGTGTGATTATTTCAGGTCCCAGCAGGGCAGCTGGGAACCAACAAGAAGTTCTCTCCTCCAACACACACACACACACACACACACACACACACACGATAAAATCTCATGGGATAGACTGGGGAGGCTTATGGGGAAGGGAACGGAGGGATCACACTGGTGAGGGGATAGAGAGAGGTTGTTCTCTGACCTCTATCACTCAACCATAGCATTTGTGTACACACACACACGCACACATGATAAGATCTCATGGATGGACTAGGGGGGCAGGTGGGAATGGGAACAGGAAGGTTCATAATGGGGACGGGATGAGAGAGTCATGGGAAAGATTAATGGAATAAGGGGGCATTACTGAGGTTATGGGTAAACCTAATGCAATAGAAACTTCCTGCAATCTTGTAGGGTGACCCTAAGAAAACTCCTAATAATGGGTATACAGAGCCTGAACCGGCAGTCTTTTGTAACAAAGCAAGGCTTCAGTAGTGGGACTAAGACATCAACCCAGCCACAAAACCTTAAACCTGCTGCCTGCTCGATGTGCAGGGATAATAATAGTGGCACAGAACTTGAGGGAGTAGAGAATCAATGATTGTTCCAATCTGAGGTCCATGCCAGAAGAGAGCGCCTGTGCTTGACACTGAATGGCCAGGAACCAGAGGCTGGATAGCCCAGAGACCTAGAACAGCACCAGACTTGACTGGGGGAAAAAAAAAGTCAGTGACATGATTTGTAGTAATACTCTGCTCTACCCATTGACTTTAGCCTAGCATAATCATCATCAGAGAGGTTTCTACAAGCCACTGAAACTTAAGGCAGCAGATGTAGAGACCCATAGTCAAGCATTAGGTGGAACTCGGGGACTCCTAAGAGGTGGGTATAGGATGGAGCCAGAGGAACAGGAGGCACCACACAAACAAGGCCCACAGATTCAATGAACCACGGCCCATAGGGGGCTCACAGAGACTGAACCAACACTCAGGGAACCTGCATGGGTATGATCTAGGTCCTTGGCATATGCTAAATTGTGTAGTTTGGGGTTTTGTGTAACTCCTAAAAGTGGGAGCAGGGGCTGTCTGTGACTCTTTTGCCTACTCTTAGAACCCCCAACCATCCTTGATATGAATATGTTTGCTTATTCTTATTGTATTTTGATATGCCATGTTAGGTTGATTTGCAGAAGATCTGCTCTTTTCTGAAGAGAAATGGAGGCATGGATCTGGTTGAAGGGGGTCCAGGGAGTGGAGGGAGGGCAGACTTTGGTCAGGATGTAATAATATAAAGAATGAATAAAATAAAATATAACTATATTTCCAAAAATATATATAAAATTAAACATATAATGACGTTTTTAAAATATAAAGAGGTTTCTTCAATAAAACATGAATCAGATATGGAGGACATGTGGATTTGCACTTCATGCCTTTGAAAGCAAATGGTTTAAAGAGAAAATGGTTGTACTGAAAGGATAAAAGAAGAAAAATTGGATAACAGCTAAGTATGCTATTGGCAGCAAAGGAATCCTATTATAAGTAAAATAATATTTAAATCTTCTAATCATTTAACTACTGGAATGTCCTAATACTATCAGAAAGCTCTTCTTATCTCTCAAATGCCTTCACATTTGCTATGAATTTGTAAGAGCATTAAGGCTTCACTATCACCGTAATTAGATGGACTAAAAAAATAGTACCTCCTTATGTTGCCAATTCCTGATTCTTCAGAGTGATGGCAGAAAGCCTTAGCATGGATTACTAAAACCTGGGGTCACTCATAACAGATGAAAATTACCCAGAGCTCATTATGTCTATCCCATTGAAATACAAATGCCGCTACGAGCTTCAACAAAATTGCATTGATAGTGTAATAAACATTCTTCAGCCTATGTAGACAATCTTGAAAAGGGAAAACATAAAATAAAATATATTAGCTACAAGTAAAATAAGCCGGTTATTCAAAGCCTCGGTGTAGTTGCTTAATATTGACCAGTCTGAGGAATATTGACATTAGAGTTTATAAGCCATGGAGGAGGGGAAGTCCATGAACTCTGATTGCATGCACAGAGTAAAAGATCCACTTCAGGAAAACAAGCTTACATGACCTAAGAAGTTAAAACAAATACTAGAAAACTATTTCTATTTGATTCTATGCAATGTAGTATCAGTCTTCAGACTGTATCACCAATTTATTTAAGTATCCCTTGCACTTACTGACACCTGTCATGATGAAACACTGAGAAAATTTTTCTGCACATAAAACTGAGTAAAAAGATTTGCTTTCCATTTTTATAATTATTACAAATTTTGTATTGTGATAGTATTTATTGTATTAGATACCTAAATCCCGAGTTAGAAAGGGACTCAAAACACATCTTTAAAATGCAATAAAATCCCAAAAATATGATACTCTTGAAGCCTCTATATTATATGGAAAATATTCCAGATAATCATGCATTATAATAAAACTTGAGAAACTTTTAGTATATACTTATTAATCAAGTTTTCAAACATGTTGTGTATTTGTATGTGTAGTGTGCATATGTGTACGTTTGTGTGTTTGCATATGTATGGACTCCTTCTTGTGTTTGTATTCCTGAATATGGAGGCCCAAGGTTGAACTACACTATCTACCTTATTTACTTTATATCTTGTATGTTAATGACACGTTCCTTGTTGAATTCAGAGCTCACATATTTTTCTAGTTTAGCTACCAAGTTTGCTCTGAGTTTTGCCCATATCCCCTCAAAGTTGCTAGGATTACCAGCATGGCACCAAGCCCACCCAGCACATCAGTATTTTGTAGAAACCCTGTATGACAGTCCTCATACCTGTATGACAAGTTTGTTTCTGCTGTGCCAGTTCCATAGCCCTTAATTTACAAATTTAATAATAAAAGTTGGAAACTGTTATATGCCGTACCATTCTAGAATTATATATGAAAGTTGTATTTCTTCAATATGATTTCTCTAATAAAGAGTCACAACTCTACCTATTGGACTGCCTCCGTTGTAAACACATACAAGTATGTATCTTTTAAAAAACAATAATGTCTTTCAAGCTCCAGTAGCATAGGAATATTAAATTATGTACATTCCATGCGTGTTAATTTGAACATTTGATTATCTGGATGCTCTGCTATGTGTGATCAGGGAGCGTCTGGAAATTCTTGAAAGTGCTGCAAAGACTGCCTTCTCTGTAGCTTGTGTGAATGCTCGTCAAAATAATACCTTAGTCACAAGCAAGCACTACTTCTGTTCCCAGGAAAAAGCTTAGTCTCTCGTTTCTCTTGACAGTGTGCAGACCTGGGTTCTTCAAAGCTTCTCCTCACAGCCAGAGCTGCAGCAAATGTCCACCTCACAGTTACACCCATGAGGAAGCTTCCACCTCTTGTGTCTGTGAAAAGGATTATTTCAGGAGGGAATCTGATCCGCCCACAATGGCATGCACAAGTAAGGAACCCTGTGGCTATTTGGTGATGTTCCCTTTCACCAGTTTGTAGAAAAAGCATAATGGAGCCTGTTGTGTTTTATGAACAGGCTCTCTAAAGCAGGCATGTTTCCCATTCACAGGGCAGGTCCTTTTCCACATTTTAAATTCCTTGGGTTAGCATTGAAAAATAAATGTCTTCTTATGATAAGCTGTCAGAAGTATCCTTTTCCCTCACTTCAAATTTAACATCCGAGGCACTAATAAACAATTCCTTTCATTTTGTGGTTTAATTGAGTATACTTGACTTCAGCAAATCTTTTTATCTTTTCACATCAGATTTGTTACATAATTCCTTTGAAGACAGTTTTCTGAACTTATAATTACACAACAAATCACAGCTTCAACAACTTATAGCCTACATGACTAAGCTGTGGGGCTATCCAGACAGAGGTCATTTGCCAAAATATAAAGGCACAGTCCGAGAGCATGACAAACAAGGTGGCAAATCAGACGAGAACACTATATAAAGCCCAACTTTCAATCTAGATTATCATGCAACTGCAACGTGTCTTTTTAGTTAAAGTTATTGACCATTATAAAAGCTTTACATGTGATCAAATAATCAGTGTAGATTATATATTTAGCACTATTATCAATATTTCGAGACCATAAATGTACATCTACAAAATTATATATTTTTTTCAATTTTAATATATTTGTGGAAACCTAATGTGGCTATTTATACACTTAAAGATGGTTAGCTAACAAGGTTCCCCATCATTTGCTTGCTTGACGACTATGCTTGTAGATATTTTTCACTAGCAAAGTGTCTATAATAAGTGAGAAAAAGAAAGTATAAAGAAGGAAAGTGAATATATCTTTCTTCACAATGTGTACCACTCGTGGCCTTCCTTCACTTTATTTGTTAGTTGCCAGTTAACTGTATGTACACTAAATAATGTTCATGAGACTATACATTTTTCATTGATCTATTGACAGAAAATAGTATTGATGACATTACATAAAATAATCACAAGTTGATTTTAAACAAATTTCAGTGGCTGAGTTTTATATATAACTGAAAAAGCACTCTTTGTAAACCAAGGGTAATGATTTTGTTGACCAAATGATTAGTAGCTACAAAATACCTTCTCAGTAAGTTAGAGTATTATACACACTTTTGTGATAGTTTACTGGAATGATAAAATATTTTGTTACAGTGGAATTCAAGCAGTGTTTAATATGTAAGATGTAAGTTGTATCAAACAGCAAATGGGTGTATCAGGACACACTAAAAATATGGTGTCAGATCATTCCATACATTTCACAAAGGTGTGTATTTGTAGACTGATTTAACTGATCCAGCCATAGTTTACATTTTTAGCATAAATATGAATGTACATTGTTTATTTATTTTTTTTTATTTTTGGACTCAAAGGGAAGGCTTTGATTTGGTGGTAAGAATTTCTTAACTCTCCTTTGGAATTAACGTACACAGATTTCACATTTCCTCCATCTTCAGCTCTGTGGATTTCTACTATTATGTTCAAAGGAGGAATTGATAGTTGTTTTTACGAGTATTACTTTGAGTGTGTGTGTCTGTTTTCAGTTTGATTCAGAGTACCACAGCCGCTCATGATCCCCTCATGGCTTGCCTGAGTTTCGGAAGATCTTGAGCTTTGTTCTGCCATTGACATTTTGTCCTTGTATTTATGATTAAAATTCCTTTTAAGATATAAGTTCTGGGAACAGAGTTTTAGGAATCTATCAAACAAAACCAAGCATAAAAAAAGCCAAGAATCTGATGACTATACTTAAGCCAGGAATCCATCTCTCAGCTATTCCACGGCCCACACATCTCAACGACTGTTAGGGCTGTGGCGTGTTTTAGGTGTAGGCTAAGTTGAATCCTTTAATTTTACTACTACTTTGTAGTATCACTTGAACTTTGTTTTCTTGGTAATGTATGACCTACAGCTGTGGATGTGTTATTACCAGAGTCTTAAGTAAAAGAAGCCAGCCAGGCGTATCTTTGTTGATTTAGAACGAAGAAAAAATGCAAGTAGAATTCAGTTGGTAGCAATAAATTGGAATTTGACATGCCTCAGGTCTGTTTCATCTTCTTTCTTAAATGTTAAGCCCATTTTTTTTTACCTGAAATTATACTATCTCTATTTTTTTCTATTAACTAATCCAAAGTCTGTAATAAATAATAATACTTTTATTCATATCTCTAAATATATTTGTGGATTAAAAAGTGGCTGTAATGCATATAATACTTCCTAAGGTTCCGTGATGGGTATTTTGGGTATGCTTGAGGGAAGCAAGCTAAGACCTTAGATACAGAGTTGTTCTATTTAAATGTAGTTGTAAAACCATCCTAAACACCAGTTCTCTTCTTAAATTACCTTTAAATATATTCCTCAAAGATGGTGGAGTTATGTAAGGTTGAAATAAAACTTGAGACTTACATTTATTTGGAACACACACATATTAGGCTAACTTAGCAAGATTAACTCATGTTTATAATTTATTCAAATAAAAGAAGACTCCATTTCACCACTATTAGGGACATGTACTGATGAGATCTTTGTCTGGCAGAGTTACTCACTTTGAAACTTACACAAAGACTAAGTCTCAAACAAACATAACAGCAAGCTTGTTTGAGAACACATGATCACATAACATTTAAGGCTGACTAAAATTTAAATATTTAAACATTTAAAATTTTAACTTATAGAAATTCATTTTGTTTCATCTTTGTACATGAATAATTAGGTTCTGAAACAGATAAAATGATATTGACTGTTGTTTTCATCTAGACGAGAAAGCTTTTAAGCAATCAAATCTGTCCATGTGTAAAAATGAAATGTGTGATAAAAACTACATGAAATTAGAGAAGCTGTCACAGTATTAGTCTAAGATGATGTATCCATTAGAGTATTTTAATTGCATGGTTTTTTCTTATGGTGGTAAACGACAAGACTGAAAATATCCCATAACACCGAACCCTTTCTACTCACATTGCATCATCTTTACTAGAAATTCCAGCCTCAGTTAAAATTCTGATGTTGAATTGGAGTCAAAGAACCTAGTTTCTAAACAGTGGTCTTGACCTTCTGCTTTTATCCCTGAGCTGTGTTCTCTCAGGAGAGCTTCAAATTCTGTTCATTTTCTATGCATCCAATTACTTTTCTGTAGAATCTATTGTCAAGAGCCTTCTTGAAAAGTTCTCCTTTTACCAATGCTGTTGTTTAACAGAGACTTCATAGTTACTTCCAACTTTCAATGGGAAAGCATGTTATTCAATGTACAAAGACTTGGGGTTTCTTTTTGTGCAGTTTAGAAAGCTTTTAAGCAAACATAGTTACTATGTTTTTAAGCATAAACATGTATGTAACATTTCTATAAATACATAAATTTATTCCATAATTATGAACATCTAGTTTAATAAAAACATCTTATTCTATTAAATAAGCTTATACCAGACCAAAAGTAAATTATGATTTTTATGTTGCATAAACACCACCATTTTCCTAAAATTTTAATTTTTAAAAATTATTATAAAATAGGGCATAAATATTAATTATAAATTTAGTTTTCTCCGGGCCAGGAATTAGTATGATAAAGGACACTAATGAATATCATCTTAAATATGTTTTCTCACTTTACTTTGCAAACCAGGACCCCCCTCAGCTCCTCGGAATGCCATCTCAAATGTTAATGAAACTAGTGTCTTTCTGGAGTGGATTCCGCCTGCTGACACTGGTGGACGGAAAGATGTGTCATATTATATTGCATGCAAGAAGTGCAACTCCCATGCAGGGGTGTGTGAGGAGTGTGGAGATCATGTCAGGTACCTCCCCCAGCAAATCGGCCTGACAAATACCTCTGTCATGATGGTGGACCTTCTTGCTCACACAAACTATACCTTTGAAATTGGGGCAGTGAATGGAGTTTCCGACTTGAGCCCAGAGACCCAGCAGTATGTGTCTGTAAATGTAACCACGAATCAAGCAGGTAAGTGTCATGTCCAACCCAACTATATGTTTTAGAATTCGTTCTGCCAATTGCATCCCTAGCCAGGACTTAACAGACGAAGTCCTATGAGGGAATGTCCTCAGCATGCAGAAGGTCAAGTCTTAAAAGAAACTATATTTCAAAGTTTAGTCTACCTTAAAGAGAATGTTTTCTAAGTGCAAACATCCATTGACAAAAAACAAGAGAGGTATGTTTTAATGAATTATTTCATTAAACATACATTTCTGGAGTAATTTCTTTAATACCTATTACTTGTCATTTATGTGATATATATAGTATGTTTTATGTTTCAAATCTACATTTTGTTGCTTTGTTAATGTCAACAGTTCTTTTTAAAATTTGTTTGCATAGTATGCTTTATTTGTTGTTTTGTTTCTTGCTTTACAGCAATAGCAACATTTTTTTTACAAGCGATAATAGTCGTTTCTTTATTTTTTCAATTTTATTCAAATATCCATCATTTTTGCCACATCCACTTATAAAAATAGAATAATTGTTAGGTCTGTTTGAGCTGAAGATTCCTTTGTTCTTCTGTTTGTGTTCTCCTTTACGCTAACAAGCATGGAGTTCTGTGCTAAGACTTCAACTCACTGGGTGATCAAAAATCTCTCAGTATAAGAAAGCATTGAAATCTGCCCCTTGGCTTGCACATGACGGCGGTCATATTAACAATCACAAGTGTTCAGTAATGTGAACTGTCATCTGTATTTGGATAAATGTAGACTATAGTGCTATAGCCTCAGGCGTCTGAGGTAAAATCTTTAACTCTCAACAATATTTGATTCTAAGATGAGCTACACAATATCATCTTGTAAATAATAAGAACTCACTGAGATGTTCTTCCTAGGGAGAAAATTTAGTGGTTTTCATTATCTTAGCATCTTTATAAGATACTCCTTAGTGATAAGCTATATGAGAGAGTAACTTGATCATTTTACGGACAATACCAACAGCCAACAATATTCTGTAGTTTTCTGACTTACTGGCATCTTCTAAGTACAATGTTTGTGAATTCAACCTTCAATATGTAATATGGCAAGGAAGTTATTAATACCCCGTAGCCATGTAATATCAATCCTGTAGTTAGTACTTTCTGTCATTAAAGGAGATATTTATGTCATTTATGTCTAGATGTCATAGTACCCACAATAAAATCACTGTAAACTTATTCCTTAAGTTTAAAACACTGTTTTACTCCGTGTCACTAATTTGCATTAAATAAGTTTCATTTCCACCTAAAATGTGAATTAAAGAAACTTTTAAAAAGAATTCTATTTAGTGCTACCATGGCTAAAGCATCATTAAGTTTCAATGTCACAGGAAGTGGGCTTTGTATTCAGATTTTATGATTACATTTCTAAGTATTCAGTTTAATTTATACAAAAATACTTTTTAACAAATCTTAACTTAAAAATTTAATTTCTCAAAGGATTGATTTCTATAATGTTTGTTTATATTGTGATTAAAAGATTACAAATTGTACTAGCCTCAACAGATGTTCTGGTATTTACTAATCAATATGTTTTGTGTGCTACTAAAACATGGATGAATTTGGTAAAAATACAGAAAGAAGAATGGTTATTCAATATGAATCTTTGCATTAAGCTAGGAATGAAAACTGATTACCCAAATATGTCTATAAAACATAAAAATGATTAATGTATGGAAATTTATACAAAATTAAAACATTTTCCAAAAACTGATAGTCAGAAAAGTTAAATATTAGTGATACTTGTTTGCATTTGTTTTAATTAACTTTAAAGTTGAAAAAAGTAAATAATAGATTTATATTAAACATTATGTAAAATGTATTTGTAGAGTAACAAGCAATAATTCTAAATACTTCCTGTGAGATTTTCTTGGTCAAGAAAAGTAACTTATGGAAACGAGAAGGAGAAAAGCAAAGGAAATGTGATGTAAGACAAAGGAAGTAAGATTTGGTCATGGGGAGAGGAGCATGGTAGGAGAGTAAAATCTGAATGGATTAACACATAATGAGCTTTCTTTCAAACTGGAAAGGGAATGAGAGGATTCAGTTATAACTGTGTGCCAGCACATAGAAAAGCAACTAAATTAACAGAGGTTTCCATGTAACAATATTTCTCAGGTACTTATTTAGATTTACTTATGACATTAACATTTTTCAGTTTTATCCTTTTACAAAATCTAGAACATATATAATTCAATATGCATTTAACAGTACATCCCTTAAAACAAAATATTCTACTGAAATAATTTAATTTGAATGTTTTTCTGCTCACAAAATATTGTACACATATTATAGCCTTGTAAATATATTTAATTATTTTGTTTAAATAACGGTTCAATGGCCATATTTAAACTAGGATTTGAAAATTCTAAAACATGCACATATATTTTAATACTAAATAATCAGTTATTTCTAAATAACATATCAAAATTATTACTCAATTTGTTAGTCGGGATTCTCTATAGTAATGAAAGTTAAGGAATGAATCTCTCTAAATAGAAAGAGAATTATTAGAATGACTTACAGGCTGTGGTCCAGCTAATCCAACAATGGTTGTCTATGAATGGAACAAGTATCAAGTAGTAGTTCGGTCCAGAGGCTGGATGTCTCACCTTGTCTTCAGCATACGCTGGAATCTGGAAGACGTAGGCTCTAATGCTAGTAAAGGAATAGACTTGCTAAGAAGTTGGCAATGAGCAAAACCTTCCTTTATTTCAGGTACTTATATAGGCTTCCAGCAAATGTCATGGCCCAGTTTAGAAGCAGGTCTTCCCACCTCAATAGATCTGTATTGAAAGTGTGTCTTCCCACCTGAAAGATACATATCAGAAACCAATTTTCCAACTTCAAATTAGGGGAACTATCCCTCACAGGTGTGCCCTACTTTTGTGTCTTAGTTAATTTAAGATATAGTCAAATTGACAAAAAATATAGCTATAGCTATCACTCTAGTTAATATTCAAAAGTACAGAATTTTACTTTCAATAGGTGAAAACTTTCAGTAAAAGATCTCTTATTTCATATGTGATTCTCAATCCCTTAAACTCTTCAGACAGTTAGCAATGTATCTAAGGTTCTCTATAGTGTGGGAGCTTCATTTTCTGGATCTACTTCAGGCAATTAATTATGGACATCTTGAACCTACAGGAATTGAGGTTAACCTATAATTTAGTATTCAATAATTCCTCAACTCTTTCTTTCTCTAGAATATCTAGAAATAACTAAAATGTGTAATTGAATCTAGAAGTATTAATGATGTACAATAAAGGATTATATTGCAAAGTCCTCCATCAAGTTAAAGTGCTCATCTAGTCAGATAAAGGATTGTGCGGTACAATAGCTTAGCCAAGTATGAAAAGTATTGAGACATCATGAATCAGTTTTCACTGAATGTGTATTCCTCAGATTTTGAAGTTCTTGCTGGTACAGATAATAAGACCTTTTTATTCTAGTCCAGGCATGCAAGCTATCTGCCTATTTTGCAGCTTAGCTTCCTCTGATTATTATGAGATTCATAGTTTCCTTCCACCTGAAAAGATGCCATGGATCCCATTTGCCTCTCCTCTCTTGAGCCTTAGAGTAATCAGGAAGTTATTTCAGCACAACTCAAATTATGTGTCATAAAATACAGATATCAGAAATTATGAAAGTTTCAAAAATTGTACCGACCTTTTATTTTTTCTTTGATGTTATGAAGAAAATATCTTATTGACCTTTCAGGAGATGCAATCAGTGCAATTGTAGAGGGTTTTAACCAAATTGCATTTTAAGATTACTATTTGTGAGTCATCAGATTTATTTTCATTGGTAAATTAAGAAATCCGCAGTGTACCACATTTCATTTCATATTTATTAAATTAATTGATAAAGATTAAATACCTGTGCCAGCTTCAAGGAGTAGTGCATAATCCACAGTCCCATATTTATAGCATGCTGAGTACAAAATTTACATGCTTCTTTATTAGGAATGCATACAACTTAATCTCATACTTATTTCTCCATGACTTTTCAAATTTAATTATAGATTCATGGAAAAGTGATATTCTAGAAATATCTTGTCCCTGCTACTAACTAGATAATTGGTTCCCAGGAGTCAGATGGAATGTTGAACACATGGGATGATATTTGGGCCAAAGAGGATTGCTTTCTATTAGTAGTTACCTGCCTAACAAGGGTGTGCATTCGGTGTGAAACAAATAGAGGGCACGGGAAGACTTCAGCAGATATATATGTCAAAAAGGCTAGCAATAAAGCTTTTAGTAGTTGAAGTAAATTTCCAGTCACTTAGATTCTTTTATTTATCTAATCATTCCAATACTCGGGATTTCACAAGTCTCGGCATACATTTGTCTCATTTGTTTAAAGGACAAGCAAATAAATTTACCTGCTCCTGTAAACCAGGAATTTGATAGGAAATACTTAGATTCTATTGTTGATATTAGTCCCCTCATTTGTGACACATGGGATACTTGATGACTCTCTTAACACACCTTGATTATCTCAAGCTAATAAGCTAACTTAAACTTCCTTTCATAGCCATATATCATTTAGACACATTCAGCCCTTTACATAGTTTTTATACCTAACATATGGTCATAACAAATGTAGTATGATTTTAATGAATAAAATATTAATTTCATGAAGTGTTTTAGGTGAGGTAGAACGTATATAGAGATTATATGCCCCTACAGTTATCAGAGAGTCATCTTCTAACTAGAAGACCCTTGCTACACTGGATGTCTTAGTAAGGGTTTCTATTGCTGAGGCAAAATACCATGACCAAACAGCAAGTTGGGGAGGAAAAGGTTTATATGGCTTACACTTCATCATTATTGTTCATCACTAAAGGAAGTCAAGACAGGAATTCAAACAGATGTGATCCCAGTACAGAATGATGCAGAGGCCATGACACAGTGATGCTTACTGGCTTGCTTCCAATGACTTGCTCAATCCACCTTATAGAACCCAGGACCAGCAGTCCAGGGATAGC